AGCAGTTCAGTTTTTGTATTGTTCTCACTAAAAAGCTGGGGAGCAGACCTGAATTCGTCTCTCCATTCCATGGCTCTAGCAAACTACTCCTCCTGTGTCTGAAACGCAGCACCTTCACTTCCTATATATCCTTCTAGAAGATAAATTATCATTCTGGGGAAAAAAAAATGCCCTGTGCAAGATGTTTTAAAGAGTAATTTATTAGGAAGTCCTCTACAAACTCGTTTCAGCACTGGGAATGCATGTACTAGACAAGCAGAAGAATCTGAAACATGGCAGTTGCCATAACTGAGATTGGTGCTGTCTGTCCAGGGGCAGCCCTGGGCTCCATGCCCACATCTGCATGACATGACTGGAGCTAGAACAAGAGCTTCTGCTTGAGGTAGGGAGGGTTTTACAAGGAATTTGCTACATGCTTATTGCATGTTCATGTATAAAATATAGAAGGGACTATGTAGGATGAAGGGGAGGAGCAGACACAATCACAAGGACATCAGCACCATGCTGGACTCAGAATACATGAGATCAAAGCAGTTACTGGAAGGTGATGTAGGGGAGTGAACCAAGAGAGGAGGATCTAAGAGTTTTCCCTTAGGTCTAAAAGAGTAACCTGTATAAAGTTTTATTTCCAGAGTTCTTCCAAAGGTTTATTCTGAACTTCCTGCATGGTTTTCTCTGCAATGGACTTGATTTCTCTGTGCAAGTCTTCTATGCTCTTTGAAGCATCCATTACCTGTTTCCAGGACAAAAAATACAGAAACATATTCTTCAATTAATGATACCAACTAAGAAAAACTCACCTTGCTACTGTCTGCTCCCTCCATTACTCAATGCTGATACTATTCATCAGCAGTGAAAGGAGTTAATTACACATCCTGTTTTATATGGTTTCTGGAGTAGAACTGAAACTATTCCTATTTTACTTAGGAATAAGCCTGTAAGAAATAGATGTGGGGCTGAATGAAGGGAAACAGAAGAAACTGCTGCTGCTGTGTTGTTTGCTGACAGTCTTTGAGACATGGGACATAAACGCAGGTAAACATTCTTCATCCTGTACTGTAGTCCCTGAGAAACATCCACCCATGATAGCAGAAACCTCTAAAAATCCATCATGTGATGTCCCACTTTCAGATTTGCTGGTTTTTAACTCCTGCAAGCTAAGGGCAGTAAAGGTGGTAGAGCTGAGAAAGCTGTCAGCCTGAGAACATGATGGCTGGTGTTCCCAGGCTGACATTTGAAGACCAGCAAGCATCACTCCCATGCAGTTGAGGGAGTGACTGAAGTGTACAAAGGATTTGGTGAAGAGATGTAGAGATGTGCAGATTTATCACAGTGACCTCTGCAATGCTGGCCCACACAACACTGCTGAGAAACAGCAGCTGTGAGAATACACAATAAATAGAGTTTGTGATTAAACAGTAGCACAGCCAGCATCACCTCTGTGCTCACACAATATCCTCCAGTTATTTGTGTAACCGAGCTAGGTTTCACCCTGTGTTTCAGAGGGTTCTTTGGCAATGTCTGTCATTCTAACTGAGGGGCAAAGAGATAGGAATGCTAACTATACCTTTAATGTGTACTGAAACTGGATTTCCACGCTTATTTCAGGGACACCTCTTCACCATCTATTCTGCTATTTATCTGTTTGACAGTTGTGCACTTTGGGATACTGTACACAGATGTGCTGCTTTAAGTGAAAATTCCTCTCAAGAGATGGACAGTCAGTTTCCCTTTAAGAGAACGATTTCCATAAAGCTCTTTCAGAAAATGAATCAACCAAATAAGTCTTCCCCCACCCCAACAGGGTGTTAGGGTTATTTCCTCACCTTCCAGTTTAATGTCTTGTCTGTCATCAGATGGTAGAAGGACTGTAGAACTTTCTCTTGGAAGGAGCTGTTCTCATAACGTTCACTTCCAAAGTTCCCTCGTTTTGCTGCTTCTTCTGGGCTTAACTGAAGAAACAGAATCAGATCTGGCTTTGGGAGTCCAATGTCAGGCTGTTTGCACCATTCCAGGCAGAAGTTCTGTCCCAGACAGAAGATAACCAAGTTTGAGGTGAAAGAAAGAAATCCAAAGCAGGTAAAGCAGCAGGTTAGCTAAAGAGTGGGTGGGAAAGGCATAGGCAGAAAAGACAGGAGATGCAGCCTGAAACACTAAGCACAGGCTACAAACTGAAAAGGTGATATCCCAGCTTACCATGTGAGAATTCAGTCTTGGTAATTTTGAGGGGGCAGGTTTTGCTAGGTGCTGTGCACCTCTCATGATCATTTAAGTCGGACAGCACTAAAGATTTTAACATCTCTTCTGCAGAGCCTAACAGAGCAAAATACCAAGTCATATTCTGAGTCTCCACACAGCTGTTACCAGTCCAAAACTTGTGATCAGTCCAAAAGAAAGCTGCTCCCAAATACACTGCACAGCTTCAGTGTAGATCTTTCTGAGCTCAGTGTGAGGTCAAGGGAGAGGACTCTCCCCCTCTACTCTGCTCTTGTGAGACACCCCCTGCAGTCCTGTGTCCAGCTCTGGGGGCAACAACACAAGAGGGACATGGAGCTGCTTGAGTGAGTGCAGAGGAGGCCACGAAGATGCTGCAAGGGCTGGAGCAGCTCCGTTATGGAGACAGGCTGAGAGAGCTGGGCTTGTTCACCCTGGAGAAGAGAAGGCTCCGGGGACACCTTAGAGCAGCTTCCAGTGCTTCTCTAAGCATTGGGGAACTGAATGGGGAATAGCTTTATGCTGTCAGAGGGGAGATTTATATATGAGCTGTGGCTGCCCGATCCCTAGCGGTGTTCAAGGCCAGGCTGGACAGGGCTTGGAGCAGACTGGTCTAGTGGAAGGTGTCCCTGCCCATGGCAGGGGGTTGGAACTGGATGTGCTTTAAAAGCTCCCTTCCAGCCCAAACCATTCTGTGGTTCTACAAAATACAGAGAGAAGCAGGGGCTACTGCAGGTCTCACTCACCTGTTTGGCACTTGTGAAGGCCACTCCGGAAAACGCATATCTGTCAACTACAAGTGTGATCCCCTTATGCAGTTTCTCTTTCATCATTGGTCTGAAAACCATGTGGTAGAGAAAAGAAAACAGTTACACTCCTTCATAGCAATACAAATGAAAGGAAGCTCATGAGGCTGCTGATTCCCTATTAATATATGTCATTATTAATGGTGACCATCAGTGATGTCAGGGTTATCTGTGATGCTGATCGCATTTAAATAGCAGTTTCCAGAGCCTAAAGAGGGCCTTACAGGAAATCTGGAGAGGGACTTTTTACAAGGGCCTGAAGTGAGAGGACAAGGAGGAACAGCTTTAAACTGACAGAGGGGAGACAGGTTAGATATTGGGAAGAAATTCTTCCCTGTGAGGGTGCTGAGGCCCTGGCACAGGTTGCCCAGAGAAGCTGTGGCTGCCCCATCCCTGGCAGTGTTTAAGGTCAGGCTGGACAGGGCTTGGAGCCACCTGGTCTAGTGGAAGGTGTCCATGCCCATGGCAGGGGGTTGGAACTGGATGAGCTTTAAGGTCCCTTCCAGCACAAACTATTCTGAGTCAATTCCTTTTTTATGTGGTTTAGTAGATTTGTGATACACTCTGCCTCAGTCAGAAAAAAGCATCCTTTATTCACATCGACTTCTCACAGCTCACTCATCTGCCGTATGCTTCTCAGTTTATTGCCACCACCACTACAGTAAAGATTTATTATTTTTTTCTTAATTAAACCCCTTTCCAGTGTAGGTTTCCAGCAACAGCCAACACTGACTTCCCTAGCTCCACACAGACTCAGGAGCCAAAAGGACAGACAGCTGCTTACAGCTGAATGCAGCCTTCAGCTAAAGTTAAGTTCAGATATGATTCCTTAACCATTCTGTCACTCACACAGACTTCTTTGCAAAGCAAGGTCTCTTCATTCAGGAAAAGATGTATATTCCTATTCCAGGCTGGTATAGTCTCAGCTGCCCCATTCTGATGCTGGTACACCACTGGAAATATCTGCATCTAATGACTGCAAAAAACTAAACTGTGGGATTTGACCTAAGATTAAATCCAAATCTGTGAGAGTTCTTGAAACTTGGGAGTCTTGGGTGACATGGTTTAGTGTGAGGTGTCCCTGCCCATGGCAGGGGGATTGGAACTGGATGATCTTAAGGTCCTTTCCAACCCTAACTATTCTGTGATTCTGAGACATTATTTCCAGACATACTTCCCTTGCTAAACAGGATCATACTCTCATACCTATTGCAAGCTAAAACCCCGGGAGGATTCAATACCATGCAATTTTCTTTTACATCTTAAACATTATCTTTACACATGTTCCCAGCGGTTAGCAGAGAAGAGCAGGTGAATGGTGTGGTCCTCCAGGTTCTTATCCTTCATCAGGTACGAGCTGATCAGCTGCCCAATCTCGGTCGTTCTCTCTGTAGGAAAAAGAGGGAAAAGGATCAAGTCCTGCCCCAAGCTGTTGTTGCCACAGGGGTGTCCATCTGTCCGGGCAGACATGCGGTCTATCTGCTTGTCACAAGTGGGACACGGTTGGTCCATCCGCGGTTGGGGGTATGTGCGTTACGGACAGGAGGAGGTCGGCGCTGAATATGCTACAGAGCCCTCGGACAGCCCCCCGGGGGCCGCGGCCCGGCCTAGCGGGACTCCCTCACCCCCTCCCGGCTCCCTGCGGATGGCTGCAGGCCCCGTACCCGGGAAGCGGAGCAGGTCTGCACGGAGCCCGGCGGCGCGCAGGGCCTCCACCAGCCGGCGGCACTGCGTGGTCTTCCCGGCGCGGTCCACCCCCTCCAGCACGATCAGCGCGCCGCGCCGGCCCGCCATCGCGCGCTCTCCGCTCGCCCCGCCCCTTCCGCCAGCGCCCGGCCAATCCCGGAGAGCGCCCTCCGGGGCCGCTCTAGGCAGAGGAAGGGCACAAAGGCGCCGAGGTCCTAGAGGGCGACTGTGAGGCGGGAAAAAGAAACCCCGCCCCCTCCGGGCCCGCCCCTCATGAATATGCAAGAGGAGCGTCCCCGGCGGCCAATAAGCAGCCGGCGGGCTATGAATATGTGATGAGACCGTGGCCGCGGCCTTTGTCATGCGGGCCCGGGAGGCGGCGGGAAGCGGTGGCGGCGGCGGGGTGCGAGTCGCAAGATGGCGACCGCCATGTACCTGGAGCACTACCTGGACAGTGAGAGCGGGACGCGGTGCAGCCGGGGCGGGGGGCAGCACCGGGAGGGGTGACGGGGGTGCTTGGAGCGGCGGAGGCCGCAGCTACAGCGGCTGCGGTGCGGGAATTAGAGCTGCGCCACGGGCTGGGCGGGCGGGGCCGCGGTGTGACATCAGCCGCCGCGGCGGCGCGTCATCGCTGTGCGGCGGGGCTGCGAGGCATGGCGGGCGCCGGCTCGCTGACAGGCAGCGGGAGAACCGCGGCAGCCGGGTGAGTGCTGGTCCCACGGGTGCAGGAGCTCGCGTGGTGTGAGCGGGCAGCTGCTGGAGCGCGTCTAGAGAAGGGCAATGGAGCTGGTGCAGGGCCTGGGGCACAAGTGTGATGGGAACGGCTGAGGGACCTGGGGGGGTCAGTCTGGAGAGGAGAAGGCTCAGAGGGGACCTTATCACTCTATAACTACCTGAAAGGAGGTTGTAGTGAGGTGGGGTCGGTCTCTTCTGTCACATAACAAGCGACAGGACAAAGGAAACAGCCTCAGGCTACATCAGGGGAGGTTTAGATTGGATATTAGGAACAATTTCTTCACTGAGAGGGTGCTCAGGCATTGGAACAGGCTGCCCAGGGCAGTGGTGGAATCACTGTCCCTGGAAGTATTCAGAAAACATGTAGATGAGGCCCTCAGTGATACGGTTTAGTGGTGGCCTTGGCAGTCCTGGGGTAAAGGACTTAATGGTCTTAAAGGCCTTTTGCAACCTAGTTGATGCCATGGTTTGCAGTATGTAGAACTAAATGTACATTTAAGTGCAGGTCTCCTGTGGTGCAGGCTTTGTCCTTGGAAGGCTTCCAGTCAGGAACAAGGGACACGTGCTGCCTCTGTGTCCGCCTGCATGTGTACATATAGCACAGCGGTGGGTGATCCAGCCGCTGGCTCCGTAAGCCAGCAGGACTTGTAGCTCTGTTCAGCGTTACATGGCTATGGAGGGATGGCTGCCACGGGGAGAACAGGATGTAGGATTGCTTGGTCTTTGTGTTTCAGGTATTGAAAACCTACCCTGCGAGCTGCAGAGGAACTTCCAGTTGATGCGGGAGTTGGATCAGAGAACAGAAGGTGTGTTCAGGTGTTCCGGTAAGCAAAGTCTGACAGAGAGCCTCGACCTGAAGGACAGGAAAAGGACAGGAACAGCCTTGTGGAGACTTAGCTTTAGAGGATGTGTCTCCCTATCCTTTGCCTTTTCTCAAGCTCAGTGCTATGCAGCACTTGCCCCTTTTCTGCAAGGGCTGCACCTCACAGGACTAGATTTCTTTTCCACAGTTGCACATTAATTTGCAGCTGTATGATTGCTGTACCCCATGGCCCTGTGGATGGCCCTGCTTGCACATATTTCCACATGGACTCAGTTGGAGGTTGCTGTGTTCCTTGCAAGACCAGGGTTTTTTTTCCATTTTTTGAGGTTTGTGTTGGTGTTTGGTTGCACATTAGCAGTTTTTTATTAGAACAGTTAAAATGGTTAATGACTGTGCAGCAAATGCAGTGTGCTGCATATGGGAAGAGAGGTTGAAGTTTGTGAACCTGTGGGTTAAGTTTCTGATCTGAACTGTGAGACTCTCCTCTGAATTAACTGTAAAACAGTTGAGAAATCAGGATCTCACCGTGTGTACTGAAGACTGAATACCTGTAAGTCTTCTTTTGGGTTGTTTGGTGTTTTTTTTTTAAGGTGAGTACATTAAAGAGTCAGGGGATATCCAAAAACTGTCAGGAGAGGTCCTCTAAATACCATAAAGAGGTAGAAGAAAAACATCTTTGCTTTAGCATACAGCTTTCTCACATGTATATGCTGTGCTTTTCAGACAAGAAAGCCGAAATTGACAGTCTTGCAGCAGAATACATTGAATCAGTGAAGAACATGTTACCCGTGGAGAGAATGGAACACCTGAAGAAAATCCAGAGTGCCTACAGCAAATGTAAAGAGTACAGTGATGATAAAGTCCAGCTGGCCATGCAGACCTATGAGATGGTGAGCATCACAACCAGTGAGAGCTTGTAGAAATGATCATACCATGCAATGGGCTGCTGCTGGTGCACATGGAAGATGCTTCCACAGTGTCAATCTTCTCTGACGTGTTTATACTTAACTGTCTTACTGAAAGAAATTATTAATCCTCAAGCTTATTTTTCTGTTGCCTTCCTCAGCCTTTTTGTGTTATCGGGTTTAGTCATAGAATTATAGCCACAGAACCACAGATTGGTTTGGGTTGGAAGGGACCTTAAAACTCACCCAGTTCCAACCCCCTGCCACAGGCAGGGACATCTTCCACTAGACCAGGTTGCCCCAAGCCCTGTCCAGCCTGGCCTTGAGCACTGCCAGGGATGGGGCAGCCACAGCTTCTCTGGGCAGCCTGTGCCAGGGCCTCACCATCCTCACAGGGAAGAATTTCTTCCTAATATCTAATCTAAATCTCTCTTCTGTCATCTTAAAGCCATTTCCCCTAGTTCTGTCAGTAGGTGTCCTCGTAAAAAGTCTGTCTCCACATTTTCTGTAAGGCCCAATTTAGGTGTTGAAAAGCCACAATAGGGTCTCCCTGGAGCCGCCTTTTCTTCAGGCTATGCAAGTCAAATAGGCTTCTCTTGGAAGTAGTATGCAAGTCAAGTAAGCCTTCTTTTCTCCGCTTGGAGATCACTTGATCTAGTAGTACCCATCTGCTGTGTAACAATACCACCAAATTGACCCCACTCTCTCCTCCCCAGGAGCTTTCCTGTCACCCAGTAATTTGTTTAGGGCTGGTCTTAGCTGTAAGCAACATTTTTTAAGTCAACTTCAATTCTGTGTTGAGGAGGAGTGGAATAAAATCTGCTCAGTTACCTTTGTTTCCAAGTGGCAAAAGAAAACAAACCTGTCAGCTCCACTTCTCTGGTTGTATACTGGACACTAAGTTTTCCTTAATGGACCTTTCTTAAGATTTAGCTTTCCACTTTTTTTTTTTTAATTCTTCTGCCCCTGCTCCTGTTTAGCTGTCCCTTGAGTAATTCTTATCTCTATATTTTATCCCTTAGACAAAACTTGAGCAAAGGCAATCCTTCTGACTGTACTTGGTGTCTTTTGTCTGGGTTCCAGGGATGCTTTGGGTTCTGCTACATCTGCAGCTGCAGTACATTTTATTGCCATAAATACTATAGAAAAGGAAATTGCTTCATAGGAACTGAAAAGTATCCTAGATACCTAAATTGAGAGCTGAGTATTACAGCAACACTGTTTGGTGGCTTAAAATGCTTTGCTATATGTCTGCTTTGTAAGCCATGTCATTGCAACCAGGGGAGTACAAGTTATTTAATGTTTATTGGCTTGACATTGGAGATACCTGGCAAAAGTCTGTATTTATCACTTAAATTCTTCATATAGCATGGCAGTGGAGCACCAGTAAAAACAGACTGATGTGCTCAGCACATATTCATGGGCAACAGTTGAATAATGTGTTTTGAAAATTGCAGGGAGAAAACTTATTTTAATATTTCAGCACCTTCCTTCCTTTCTGTTTGTCTGCAGAGGGATTAGGTCCTCTTGCTTTTGCTTATTTTCTTTTTTTCTGCCTTAATTCTGCTCTTCCAGTTTGGCAGCCCTTTCATACCCTGCTCTGAAGTAGTATACCCCTGTTCGTGATGATAACAGCCATGTTATTAGACCATCCTGTTTTCATTTGGGGATTTTAATGTATTTCTTTTAAAATTCAGTTTGTGGTTTTCTCTCCTGTGCAGGTGGATAAGCATATCCGCCGGCTGGATGCAGACTTGGCCCGGTTTGAAGCAGATCTGAAAGATAAACTGGAAGGCAGTGACTTTGAAAATCCTGGATCTCGAAGCCTGAAAAGTGCGTACATCTTACATGTTGGTGGACAGCCTTTTCCAGCACTGAGTACATCTGACCCGAAAGGCTAAGATAGAAAGTAGGCTGTTCTTTCTGGAGGAAGAATACTAGTACACCACAGAGTACTTCTTTACTTGTTTTTAATACTCTTCAAATATTTACAGTGTTCTGGTGAGCAATAAACATGTGAAGAAAAACATTGTGCTGGAATCTAATTTACTGTCTCTGCTTGCCAGATCACCCTGAGGTGGCCCACAGTTGTAAGGAGGGTGCTGGCCAAGGGGCAACTCTGACAAAACTGAAGTGATGTTCTTACAACTTTTGAGTGTAACAGTCTTGATTTCAGGCTTGGTCTGTTACTCAGTAAGTTCTAAGCTGTTTTTTTGAGGAAAGTAGATTTGCCTATTTTCCTCTTTTTACCAGAATTTGGATAATAATCAAGCTGAGAATGACAGGAAAAAATAGAAGTTAAACGAAGGTACCAGTTTCTCTAATGTATACTGGAAATCTCGTGTGATTAATGTGAAATCTGAGTGTGATTAACAGTAGCACAGCTTTATGCCTTTAAACTGTGAAATAAGGGGTAAGATATCAGATGTGGACATAAAAGATAATTGAGTAACTGATTAAGTGGCTGAATATTTAAAAATATACTGAGATTTAAAAAATATTACAGCATGTCTAATCAAAGATGATGCTATTTATATCTCGTGCAATGATACGGGGTTAACATTTCATGCTGCTTATTTCATTTTCCATAATTAAGTGTTAGACTTCTGTAAGATACATTATCTCTGAACTGCCAGGGTTGCATAGTAGTTTCATTGTATGTGATCTTAATTTGCAGATTGTATGTGATCTTAGTTTTTTTATGTACCTTTTGCAGTTAATGTATCGGCTTCTGTTGTGGTGGGCTTGGCAATGCTAGTTTAATGGTTGGTCTTCATGTTCTTAAGGGTCTTTTTCACCCTAAACAACTCTGATTCTGTATACTGCAGTGATTGAATTGCCACAACTGTGACCACAAGAATTTGCTGCTCAGTCGTACTACTTGCCAGTTTGGCATATTTGTGGTATGCAGATGTATTTCAGAATCAACATTCGTGTAAAGTTACATATGAAATAAGGCTTTCAAAACAAATGGCGTCAAAATAAGAACACCTGGGCATGTTTCTTGGATTCCAGTAGGTTGAAACAATGGTTCTTTTTTTTTTACAGAGGGACGAAGTCAGAAAGACAAAAAAGGCTCTCGTGGTCGAGGCAGACGAACATCTGAAGAAGATACACCAAAGAAAAAGAAGCTCAAAGGAGGGTAAGGTGTAGCCTGTCACAGCTCTGGTGACTTTGGCTTGACTCTTCATGAATTTTCCACAAGCTCATATTACCGTATTTATGACTCAGGTCTGGATGGTGGGTGGTGTTAGTGTGTTCTGGTCTTACTCCAGTTCATCAGTGTCCTGCTTAGAACAAGTCAGCTTTGTTAATTAACTCCTTGGTTGGCATGTGGAAGCTCAGCATGCTCAAAATGCTCTCTTGACTGGAAGGACAAGATTAGCTTTTCTGTTGCTGTTGGCAAGCTGGGAGAAAATAGCTTTGAGGTTTGTTTTTTGTTTTTTTGTCCTGCAGCTATTTTTAACAATTGTTTGTGGTCTTAATTGTCAAAAGAAACACTTGCCCATCAGGGCAAAAACTGATGATGGATTGTTCTAGAAATCATGGAGAACTTTGGGGATTGTTTTCAAAGAATTGTCTAGATAGTCTTAAATAATCTAACTTGGTTTTGTGACGCAAGGAGAAAAGCATATCCCCTCTCCATGATTAGACTTATGTCAAAGGGGCTCTGTTATGATATTCTCATGTGGCTGAACAGAGGGACAAAAACTAAAAACTGTGTCCATTGGCCATTACTGATATATCAAGTTAATGCATACCTGTTAGAGCAATAGCGTTCACTCCTACCTGGCAATGAGAGAAAGAATGTCTATTAAAACAGATTGGGTGGTGAATCAGATTCTTCTGTACACAAGCAGAAGTGATCTGTCATTAATTTTGTTACTGTAGTCATGGTATCTACAAATCATTCTCTTAATCCTTTATAGTCAAACTCATGTTTTGTATTTGTAATAAGAATTTAATACGTTTTTTCTTCATGTTACAAAATTAAACTCACCTTATGATTTTTGTCATTGGATAATCTGTGATAATGTAAGGTAAACTCTATACAGTGTGTTTTAGAGAATATACTGTTAAAAATTAGTGTTCCCAAGTGGGATTTAGATCTTGGGAACATGGTGTTACCTGCAATGAAAAGTGTTTTTCCTCAGTCTGTCCTTGTTCACAGATCTGAGTTTGCTGATACCATCCTGTCAGTGCATCCCTCAGATGTCCTAGACATGCCAGTGGACCCCAATGAACCTACCTACTGCTTATGTCACCAGGTGTCCTATGGAGAAATGATTGGCTGTGATAATCCTGATGTAAGCACTTGAGATGATTTATTTCCATATGTTTGCTACATCACATCGCTGTGAAATCTGAGGGTCTTACTTGTTCAATTAGACCATTCAGCTGTTACTTTCATTTTGTGAAACACTAAACATCTCCTGTGGGTTTTTCCTTTCTGTTTTGCAGTGCCCAATTGAATGGTTCCACTTTGCTTGCGTGGACCTCACCACCAAACCAAAAGGGAAATGGTGAGTGTGACAAGAGACCACTTTTTGATTTTCATCAGTCTACAATTTGCCTCATAAGAATCACAGTAAGAATTAAAACCCCATTGTTACCCTTCCTGACAGAGGAGCTTTGCTCTTGTCATCAGAGGGTTTGCATCTTCTATGGTTTGGAATCATGTTTGTTTGATGGTAGAAGGTACAAAGGGAACTTTCTTCCTGAAGTCTACTTCCATGTGAGTCTTGAATTCTGGCTGGAGCAAAACAGGGACCCAGGCACATGCAGAGGTTTTGAACTGAGGCTGTGTAAATGTATACATGTTGCATCTTAGACTTGCTGTATTGTCATGTAGTTGTGGCTGTGGTTAAAATTGAGAAGTGTGTATGTATTGTTTCACTTCTGGAAGCAAAATTTGAAGACTGCTCTAGGTTTTGCCTTTACATAAATAGCCTGCTTTTAAACTACCCTTTCACTCATTCTTTCCCAAATGATAAAAAAACCTTTTGGACTATGTGTTATTAATTACAGGAACTGATTACTGCCTCTCCTTCATTCCCTCTAGGTTTTGTCCTCGTTGTGTTCAGGAAAGAAAGAAAAAGAAGTAGGGGAATACATTTAATATTCCTTCCTTCATGTTGCAATATCATCTTTGATTATTTTTTTTAATCTACCTTCCTTCTTTTTCTGATATGATATTTGATTGTCCAGTGGCCAGTTGTAATTCCAGTCCTTTCAAGTGAAAATGGCCTTCAGAGGGAGCCCCAAATCCCTTTGCCACAGGTATTTTATTTATGTTATACTTGCACAGCACTGAAATTGGTGTTACTATGAAGTGCTAGGGCAGCCAGTAGCTGTAGTCTCTGCTAGTTTACTGGAGTCTGTAAAACCACATAAGGCACTGCAGGAGAACGAAATGCTTCAATCCGGTGTGGTGCATCACCATCATTGAAACAATTTAGGCCTGGAGTTTGATGTGCAGAGAAGGAATTTTCTCCGATGTAGCCTGCATGAAAGAAATTAGGTTTCATTGTTTAGGTGTCAAGTCCATCTGGTTTGCAGTTTTGTAGTACAGAAAGAAACAGGAAAGCTGGTTCACTGTTTCCAGTGTCTGTTTCCTCAAAGTTTTGCTGGCATAGGCTTGGGAGAGACATGAGATTAAGTCTTCTCTTTTGGGAAATTTCTTCTGTCTGCCTTTGCACTGCCTTTATTTTACTTAATCTTGCCCCCAGTCACATGAACCTTAAGCAAACCATTTGGCTTTTCACCTCCTCCTAGAAAACGTTTGTCTTTTGGGGGAGAAAACCTTTAAAAAGCAAAGGATTTGTCCTGCAGTTTCTTAGTGACAGTAGTACTGAGAGAGGGTGTTACCTTTCCTGGCTGTTTCCATTTCTCTGAAGATCCTTTAAGTACATTACTGTGAAGATGAAATCTAAAGTATTCTAATAGAGATAGAAGGTTGGATTTATTCATAAAATAAGATGAAGGCCTGACTTTTGTAACTTGTGTTTGCATGTGTTGCACCTGGGTAAATCAGGAAAACAATCTTTAGGGGAAGGCTCCCTAAGAACAATGTGCATATTCCCAGGAGTGTGTGGCAAAGCTGAAAAGCAGCCTTGTAACCTGGGGGCTGGGGTGTGAATAGCATTTGCTGTGAAGCACTGCTGTTGAGGAAGACCATTCAGCAGGAATGTTTTAATGTGACTTTTGTCTTTTTTGGGGGGAGGGGGTGGGGTGTTGCACATTTGCATGTTCTTCTTTAAGCTGCCTTTCAGATTATGAATGTGAATCCTTGCTGCCACTACAGTGTCAGTTGCTGCAGCAGTAGGAAGAGAAGGAAATTAGGAGTAGGAAAACAAACAAAAGTCTTTCTGTTTTTTCTTCCTTCCTTCCTCTGAGTCAGTAGTGGATGTAGAAGTTGAGGGAAGGGCAGAGATAAGTGTTGTCTGCGTATAAACCCCTTGCATTATGGGGCTTACCTGCCTGTAATAAAAGATGTGGGGGAAGATGGTCTTGCTCACAGAGGGGGAGGGGAAAAAAAATACCTACACAAAGCCCTGCAGCAGTAGGCACCAAGGTTCATGAACTTGCTGTCTGTGATCCCTAATGGGTGTTGCTGGCAGCTCTGTGCAGAGCTGTGTACTACTTTGCATACCATTGTGTCTTGGTATAAACTGCTGGAAAAGACATCAAGAAACTTCCAGATGAGCTTTTCTTCTGTAAAAACAATCTGAATGAACAGTACAGAGGAAAAACCACTGCAATCAGACATCGGCACCTATTCCCAAAAGAGAAGTTTTTTCCCTGTTTTATACTGACCCTCTTACTTGTGTTTTAGCAGACCACAGCTCTTGCCAATTTTCCTTCCCTGCTTTGCTCAGTTAGGATTTGTAGATGCTGCAGGTATGTCAAGAGTTACATAGAAGAAACCTCTTAATCCTGGGACAGTTTTTCTGTGGACATTTTGATCTGTGTATTGCATCTGCTATGGAAAAAAAAAAGCCTGTCTCCAGTCCTGTCATTTAAAGTGTGATGCTGCACATGTGTTCACCACGTTACATCACTCTGCATGTTGTATATGAAGTTTCCACAGTTCTGTTTACAAGATAATGTGCATTTGTCATCATCGCTGTTGTAATAGCACCCAGAGGGCGGCAGGCAAATGAAAAGCAGATTGCTGGAGGGGAGGAGGAGGAAGAGCAGTCCCACAAACCTGACTTTAGACATGCAGTCAGCCCTCTTTGTTTTTCTGCCTCTTGTTTTGGGGGAGAGCAAATTTAATCGTGATACCTCATGAGCCAGCCTGTAATTCAGTAGCCCATGAGTGAGACCTGTACCTCATTGACCTGCTAACACTGGATTGATGGAGGAGTGTTGACTGTGTTCTGAAGAGTAGTGGTGATGCTCTTTCAGATTTTATTTTCCCCTTCCACCCAATGATTTATATTACTCTTTCCCCTGTTTCCCCCCAAGGCTTTATTAGTAGTGGTGTCACCATAGATCAAACATTTGATTTTTTGATTTAAAACAATCTGAAAAATCCCACTGCACCTCTCTGGAAGTCTCGCTGAAACTATACTATACAGAATTGTGCAGCTGTGGCTTAGTCACTGCAAAGCCTCAGCTCTGAGAACGTGGTCAGGTAGGACAGCAAAACACATTTTGTTAGCAAGTGCTTTTTCGGGCTTGGAAGAGCAGACACTTTCCACTTTAACCAGCAAAGCAAAAATAAGCTCTGGAACTTAGTGTCAGTCCTCAAAAGGAAAGAGTTTGCTAGGGTTCATGAACAGTGTGAGGTACAACATACTGCTTTTCTTGACAATGTAAGGTCTCAAATGATCCGATACCAGCAATAAACTGTTCCACTCAGAACACACCAATGTGGGGGCTCTGACAGGCTCAGGAGTGTCTCTTGGCCAATTTTTAAGACACCTTATAGACAGAAATACCGGTAGCCTTCATTTTTGCTTACTAAGGGATTTAAATCTTTCTCCTGAATTTTGAATGTACAGTGTTAAATATACTTTCATGGAGAAGGGTGAACAGGATCCACAAAGGAATGTTCCACTAAAGATTGTCGCAATACTCGAATACCTTGTGGGGTTCAGCTTTATTGCAGCTTGTCCAAACTGGAGATGAAACAACTTTAACCCAATTGTTCTATTTTTTAAAGTAATTAGATCTTTGTTCCCTTTGTAAATGGAAGAGAATATAAATCTTTTTATTAAAAAAAAAAGAAAGAATGTAAAGTAAAAATGTATATCTGTATTTTTGGATCATGTTATAGATAATGGATATATTGTTATAAATAAAGTATTTTTGGGAACAACGATGTGGGAGAGCGCCTTGTGCTGTTGCGGTGGGCAGGGGCCGATGCACGGGGCCGACCACCGGTGGGCGCGCAGGGGCGGGCTGTCCCGAGCGGGCGCTAGGACCCAACGCGGTCCATCGGGAAAGGAGGGCGCTGCTGAGCGCATGCGTGGTGGGCGCTCCTCGGCCTACTCCCGGCGGGGGCACGGAGTCTGTTCGGTGGCAGCCGTTGCCGCCCGTACCGGAGCCGGCCCGGGGCTGCCTGCCCCACAGGCGGTTTGCCCTCTCTGAGCGGTGCGTGAGGCGGCCCCGGCGCGGCTGCGGGTTAGCGGGCCGCTGGTCACAGTGGAAGGGAGAGTTTCTGTCCTGAGGTGCTGCGACGCGATGGACGCCCTCACCCACTGCCGGGGTACTGCAGGGCAGAGCGGTTGTCACCCGTAGAACCTTGTCCAGCTCCTCACGGGCTGGGAGAGGAGCCCGGGTGGCGGGGAGCGGAGCGGAGCGGAGCTTGCCCCTTGGCTGGGCCCCTCTGCTCAGGGTGGCCATGGGGGTTTTCCCCGTGGTGCCCCGCTGCGCTGTGCGGAGCCGCTGGGTGCCTCTGAGGTGGCTGACGGGCTTCCACGGGAGCACCTCGGCACAGCAGAGCAGCACTAATGCCCTGGGGCTGCTTCAGCAGAGGAAACAGCCCCCGGGTGGGGTTCCCAGGCCGTGGGACTCGAGGTCTCGGAGCAGGAGAGCTCTCCATGCAGGCTCCTCCAGCCTCCAGGAGGTCATGCTGACTAGCGAGCGGTACGGAGTGCGGAGGCTGCCCTTCTCCCGTGTGTCTGATGGCGATGTGGCGTTCTTCGAGCAGATAATGCCAGGCAGAGTCATCACAAATGCGGAGGAACTGAGACCATTTAACGTGGACTGGCTTAAATCGGTCCGAGGTAAGTGAGCTTGCTTAGATTCCTGGTTTTGTTTAAGCCTCTCTGCCTCTGTTACCAGACCAGAATGAGAAGGCAAAGAAAATCTCATCTTTATTTATAGCAGACCACATGTTCACAGACCAAAATTTTCCTTTAAGAATTGCCTAATATTTAGTAATCTTTCAGGCTTTCATTACAAAAGAATAACCCTAAGACCTATTAACTTACTATTTAATTTTTCCTGAAGCACGTTGACAGTTAACACTTTTGGCTGGCATTCAGAGAACAAATGCGATGAAATTTTCAGTTGCTCTTGTCAAAGATTTCATAAGAATACAAAACCTTTCCCATTGCCCCTGCTGGCAGCAGCCTACAGGGACATGCAAAGCTTTTGCAGCGCTTTAAGAGAAAGCCTGCTGTTGAATCTGTTTCGTTTAATAGCGCCTCTGCCTCACGGTGGAGGGAGCGTTATTTCAGACATCATGCTTTACCACCTTTTCTGTCTGACCCCTGTAGAGCCCACAGCTTGCCTCGAGAGTCCCTTGCTTTCATTGCAGGCTGTAGCAAGCTGATGTTGAAGCCACAGACAACAGCAGAGGTGTCTCAGGTTCTCAGGTAACGTGCACCTTTTCTGCTGGGCTTTGTGGCGAGGAAGCTGAGGTGAGGGAGGGTATGTCATGTGAAGGGGGCTTCTGGATGTTCAGACATTACTCAAGCGCTGGAAATGCTGGAGCTGTTTTCTTCTTGACTGCAGTGTAGTTGAACTCTGACTCCAGCTTCCTCTTCTGCTCTTCATATCCCAGCTGCCCGCTGTTTCCTGATGTACCTTTTGTTCCAGCTCCTCCCAGGACCAGAGGCACTACATGCTGTTGCTAGCCTGGGGTTATGGCAGTGATGGGTACAGGTTCCTGAGCAGGAATGTTTTTATGTAGCTGAAATTTTTCAAGGCAGAAAAGGACTTTCACCTGTGGCTTTTATTTCTCAGGCCTGGTGCTGTCCCTGTCCCTCGGCTTTTCTGGACTGATGGTGTTGTGTCAGTATCAGTCAGACACAAAGGCCAATCTTTTGTTTGTTTTACAAAATAAAACTCGCCTCTCCTGGCCAGGTGTGCTTGCAAAGGCTGTGGGCACCAGCAGGCGTCTCAAATCAACATTGATGGCTTTGAGTAGAAGGGTCTTAAGAGTGCTTAGTGTGGAGGGGTGAGAGGTAAGCAATCGGCTTCAGTATTGATTACTTTTCTGGGTTTTTTTTGTCTAAATCAGACACTGTGCCAGTGCTCAAGAGGAGCAGTTGTGTTGAAGGATTCAGAAAGGTGTGTCTGAAAAGGTAAAGGTTAGGCCAGAATCAGGCAGTTTGAGGAGCTAATGTTTTGACCACTAAAAGTAAGAACACTTCCCTGGTTCACTGCTGTGAGCATCAGGATGTGGGATTGCTGTTTGGCTGAGATATAGAGCTGCAGGAGCCCACTCGTGAAGTAGCCATTGGTACCATGCAGCTTTGTGCCGTCCGTTGTGCAGGATCCTCTCTGACTTCAGAGAGGATGTGATGGGGGTGCTTTGCAGGGATGTTGCGGGCTGTGAGGTGATACATTTGAGGTATAGATGCACATGCTTCATCACCTACAGGGCATTTATTTCTTAAAGGCAGGTATATGGCAGTAATGGCTTAAACTGTTGTCAGAGCCCACTGAGGAAGCCAAATTGTTAACAGAAACTGCTACATAAATAGCTTGCTATAAATGCATGTGTGAGTAGTGATTTCCAGGCAGATGTTTTGTGGCAGATCTGTAGATATGCACAGAGATAACCTGAAGTGTTTGTTGCTTTTCTCAGTGCTGGGTGAGTTCAGTAAGGAGTTGTGCTTTCTCACTTTTGCAGTGACCCTATATCTCTATGTCAATTTAATCTTTAGGCTAAACACAGCTTAATTTTAAGGAGCATTAAGCACTGCTGCAACAGTAGACATTTACATGGAGGTGACACGCTTCTAATAGACTGGATTAGGGCTTAAAATGTGCAAGACTTCAGAAACATTTCTTCCTTCCAGGTACTGTTACGAGAGGAACCTGGCAGTGAACCCACAGGGGGGTAACACAGGCCTTGTTGGGGGCAGCGTTCCTGTCTTTGATGAGATCATTCTCTCCACTGTTCTCATGAACCGGATCACCAGCTTTGACAAGGTGTCTGGTAAATATTGTAAAGGTGTAAGGCACAGAAATGTGCCCCAGGCCCTAAGCGAGCCATTTTTCTGGGAACCAGTAGCTGCAAAATCAGCAGGGTTCAGCCCAGCAGGTTCATGAGGGATGTCAGAGGCCTGTTTCATGCAGGCTCCTGTTGTAATCCTTAGGTTATAACAGTAGCAGACGAATCATACATGTGGTATTTACCTTTTACCGGAGTATCAGCTTGTAGTGGGTTGTTTATGTTTCAGGAATCCTTGTGTGCCAAGCTGGCTGCATCTTAGAGAAGCTCAACGAGTACTTGGAGGAGCAGGGGTTTATCATGCCGCTTGACTTGGGGGCGAAGGGTAGCTGCCACATCGGTGGCAATGTGGCCACTAATGCTGGAGGCTTGCGGCTTTTGAGATACGGCTCTCTCCGAGGGACAGTGCTAGGACTGGAAGTGGTAAGGCGAGTACCTGGCGGTTCCCTTCTGTGTTTAAACCTCACTTCCTACCATTTCCTGCTGTTCTAGCCCTGAGCTGTCCCTTATGCAGACAAGTTCCTCTCCAGGCTTCCACTTTTCCTTGTATGGCTCTTTTGAGGAGTCAACAAGTGTCTTCATGCATGCAGCATCTCTTATTTCTACGACAGTGCCCTCTGTCCTTACTGACAGGAGTGATATGAGATGGTTTTCTAATCCAGAGAAGTGAAAAGAAGACAGGGAGAGCTTTGGTGATCCCAGGTCACCTGCATGAGTTTGGTTCCTCTGTGAAGTGGTGAGGCTCTGGAACATTCCACTAATCCCATCCTATGGCACTGTCTCCTAGTGGCTGCTCACTTGATTTCTAATAGGGCTGTCCACTTTGGGTTTGTTTGGCTGCTGGCTTTCTCCTAGAGTCTTTGCTGTACCTCAGCCTGCTTCTGCCCTGCAGGCCTGTGCCTCTGTGTGTAAAGGCTGGGATTAGTTCTAAAAGATTTTGGGGCTTGGGAGCAAAAAGTTAATAGGAAGTAAGTTAGGTAGGTAACAAAAGCCTTGTTTGGTTTTATTGTGTATGCCCAGAAAGGAGAGCTTTTGCTTCTCAGGTTAGTCCCTCTAGTGTTGAAACAGCCTTTAATAACATGTCTTGGGGACATTCAGCCTTGATTTAAGGCTCAGGTGGTCGAGGGCTTACTTCATTCTGGTTAACTATGTTCACTGGTTTAAATAGTGTTCCTTCTTTCTGTTGAGTAATGGGAGCTAGGGCTGCAAAGAATGGCTGACCTTCACCGCTGGTAAGAAAAGCAGAGAAATTCAGTCTTCTGTTATTACTTGTTCTGTTGGAATGTGTGCAAACAGCACTGTAAAAAAAGAAACAGAAAAGTTGGGGAAGACTCGGGTAGGATATAGAGGGGAGGAAGAGCTGGGAGTGGAGGATCAGAGGAAAGACCTTGGGAGTGGGCTGCAGCTGGAGTCCACTGGTCATTAGCTTGGCATAAGCTTGCTTACTACCAACAGATTTCTACATAGGTGCTTTCACTGGGTCTCTGTATTCTCACAGGTGCTGGCTGATGGCTCAGCTCTGGACTGTTTGACCTCTCTGCGCAAAGATAACACTGGCTATGATTTGAAGCAGCTTTTTATTGGATCTGAGGGGACCTTGGGAGTTATCACTGCTGTCTCCATCCTCTGTCCTCAGAAACCAAAGGCTGTGAACCTGGCATTCCTAGGTAGGAGCTGGTGCTAAGTTCACACCTGAATTCAGAGGCTGGGAAGAGAATAGGGATGGAGTGAAGAAAGTGCTGGTCAGCCTGCTGAGCTAAAGTACCAGCATCAGCTTGTTTCTGGGAAATAATGTGGTGCTGGATGTTAAAATATCTGTGCAGATCTTTTACATCAGTGGTATAAACGTGTAAAGTACCTGCAAGGGGAGGTTGTTCTGAAAGGGAAGGGGAGACAGGAGCTTAGCAGGATGA